CAGACCTAATAATAGGTGACAGATAGATGTGAATGCATATAAAATGTGTACATTTCTTGAACATTAAACCACCTATATTTCGGAAACTAATCATAGTATCAGGTTGGGCCCATGAGAACTTTTTATCAGTAAGTGAAGATATACCACATATCAAAATTTCATTGAGTTTGACAGAAAACCAAAAACCCATAAGATGTGTGCAGGGTCCTTTGATGTAGTATTCTATATCATTGATGACGTAGGTACAAGGTTTCTTTTTTATATATAGACCTTCCACCTACAGAGCCTTCACCTTCACAGGTAAAAAAAAGGTGTGAATACAAAAGTTTAGGCTAAATTTTTAGAATCCATGGTCAGAAAAAAAATTAAATGTCAGAAATGTGTAATGTTGCATGCTTTCAGCTTTTTTCAAATCTATATTTGGTTCTATATTCTTGAAGAACACAATACCCCCATAACAAAAATAAAAAATATATAGTTTTTCTATATTTGGTTGAGCAGTCTCTTATACAGGGTGAGTTAATAAGCGCGCGGTGGTCCATATCTCCTATACTAACAGAGATCGAAAAAAAAGTACATACAAAACTTGTTGATAAACATGAGTACTACATTCCTAAATTATTTTCCAGTATACAGGGTGGCCCCATAAATAGTGATGACACAAGGTTATGTTTTTTTAAATGACTAGCCCTGTATATTATGACATTTCAGGATTTTGCGGAAAATTCTAGACATATTTCATGTACAATGTCATATACCTATCTTCAACTGTTTCGGAAATATTGACAGTTTAAAATTGACTTTTTTGCATCTTTGACAAACTGCAAAACCTGAACGGGTAATTTTAGAGGAAAACCAATTTCACATTCCTATCTTAGATTTTCATAAGCTATCATTTGACACCAACTTTGAATTTACCCGAAGATTATAAATTTAAGCGGAATTTTTAATCATGGATTAAATTCAAAGTTGGTGCCATATGATAGTTTATAAAAAACTGAGATAAGAATGTATAATCGGGTTTGCTGTAAAATCAATCGTTTCGATTTTACAGTCTGTCAAAGATGCAAAAAAGTCAATTTTAAACTGTCAATATTTCCGAAACAGTTGAAGATAGGTATATGACATTGTACATGAAATATGTCTAAAATTTTCCGCAGAATCCAGAAATGTCATAATATACAGGGCTAGTCATTTAAAAAAACATAACTTTGTGTCACCACCACTTATCGGGCTACCCTGTATACTGGAAAATAATTTAGGAATGTAGCACTCATGTTTATCTACAGGTTTTGTATCGAGTTTTTTCTTCGATCTCTGTTAGTATAGGAGATATGGACTACCGCGCTCTTAGAAACTCACCTTGTATATTCGGCTCCAAAAATTGTGAAAATACTATCCTACTAACTGATTTTGTGAACAATTCTACCTGTACAGATGGAAGTTGCAGGTAAAATTTGAGGTGTTTGGGTTCTCTGTAATATTTTTGAAATTTTTAGAACTAAATATGTTGGAGACGGCTCAACCAAATATAGACACACTATATGTTTTTGGAATCGGTGTACCTATTGTGCTCCTCAAGAATATAATAATAATAATAATAATACATTTATTGTCATAATGCCATAAATTACAAAAATGGTTTACAATTTTATTCTAAAAGTAACACATGCATTTATAGCCGACAATAGGCCTTAATAAATATGCAGACATCTGGAAGTTCCAGATACTGTTCAGGCCTCAATTTAAAATGACAATCTAATATTATATCAATTTTAAAACATTATTAACTACGAGAAAAAAATACAACTACACGATCTATCATTATTAAAAATTACTTTGATTCCAAACACAATTCTTAAGGGTAAGGAGAGGACAATGGTAGGAAAAATAGGAAATAGAGGGGCTATTGCAATGTTTTTTATTTTATTTTTATTTTTTAAAATTTTTTTTCAATTATTAGATACTTTTGTTTAAATTTATTTACTGAGACTGAAGTAAATATTTTTTAAATTGTTTTTTGAAAGTATGACATGACAGTTCAATATTTGAAAAGTCTAAAGAGTTTAATAAATTCGGAACATTATAAGAAAATGAACGTTTAAATATTTCTTTTCGGTGTTGTGGTATTCTTAAAGTATTTTTCCTGCGTAGATTCACATTATGTATATCGGTGCGATAAGTTATTTTCTCATATAAATAGGGTGGAGATTTGTATTTTAAAATTTTATAGTAAAATGTGGCTCGATAAAGTTTAAATCTATCTATTCAACATATTTAGCCATCCCGACTCGGACAAATACTGTGAAATATGGTTACGTCTTTTAACACCATATATAAGTCTTAAACGCGAATTTTGCATTTTCTGAATTCTATAACGATCACCACTATCCAGACACGGTACATAGACACTACTACAATGATTAAATTGAGAAAGAACAAGGGCATCACAAAGTAACTTTCTAGTATCTAGGGGAAGGTAGTGCCTATGGCTGTAGATATTTTTTAGGTTACCGTATGCCACTCTTAATTTAGCTGTAACGTGTTCTTTAAAACGTAAATTAGAATCTAAAAACAATCCCAAACTTTTACTGGTATTTGAATAAGGAAGCGGTACACCGTTCAACACAATATTCATGCTGTTTTTAACTTTAGATATTTGAGAATCATTACCAAAAATCAGGACTGACGATTTACCAGGATTCAATTTCAACAAATGATCCGCAGCCTTCTTAAAAAAATTATGTAAGTCAAGATTAATTTTATTTTCGGAATTTTCGATATCCTCATCGGTAAATGAAAAATATATTTGTGTATCATCTGCATAAAAATGATAATTACAATGCCTAAGAGAGGTCAAAAAATCCGAAGTACAAATAGTGTAGAGTAATGGTCCCAAGATGCTACCTTGAGGTACCCCCTTTTTCACGTATAAAATTTCTGAATGTATATTGTTGATTATTACCCTTTGCGAACGATCCGACAGAAATGACTTCAAAAAGTTACAGGAATTTGTCCCAAATCCGGCAAAATGAAGAATTGGTAAAAGTAGCTTATGATTAATCATATCAAACGCTTTACTAAAATCTAAAAGAACCAAAGTAGTAATTTTATTCTCATCAAGTGCCCTTAAAATATCATCAGGCCCCGTATTCTTGACTGCCTGGGAAGGGAGTGTTCCTGGGAACGTTCCCAGGAAAGCTAGTTCACTTTCGCTCCCGGGAGCTAAGAGGTCGTATTCTTGAATACCCACAAGCGCTCGCAATGTTGCCGCCTATCAGAGTGTCAATGAAACTAACCAAAACGTGTTTCAAGCGAAAAAAGGAAGAGGAAGTTATCTAACCCAATATCTAACCCCACGTTTGATATTTATTATTGTCTATTTTTCAAAACTTTGAAAGCTGAAAGGCATTTGGGTTTGATAATATATTTATTTTTAACTACCCTATGAACATCATCGCTGTAAGTGTTCGAAAACTGCATTCCTCATGAGATTTTTTATACATGAGGGAAAATTGCGCATAATTTTCTGCAGCATAAATTAATAAATTCCGTATTCCTGCTCCTGAACTTCATGTGGCTCATCAACTTCTGGAATAATGTGTTCTATGCATACTTACTTTTGTAGTTTTGGTTAAAGCCGCTTTGGAGCGGTAACCATATCCACCATATCCACTATTTCGTGGCATACATTTTTGCTTACTCTAAAAAATTTCACGAATTTCTGGCCAATGGAAAAGGCAGAACATCCCATCCTATTTCCTTTGCTTCTGAAGCATTTTTCATGTCTTCTTGGATTATGTTAGGTATGTTATACAAGATAATCTCAATAAAATAATCCACATCCACATTCATTTTAATGAAAAGACACAACGCATACAAAAACGAAAAAACCTTGAATTTGAAAGGAGCAAACGAAAACGTCAAGCTTGAAAACAACGTCAAGTCTTGAGGTTAGAAACCCTGACGGGAATTCGTTTTCTCTTGGGTAAGAGGATGGGAACTTCAGAATTCCCGGGAACTTTCACTTCACAGTCCCATTTTCAAGAATATGACATGTACCTTTTTGAGGTAAACCACGTCCACTTCCCGAGCAAGTTCTCCTCCCAGAAATCAAGAATACGGCCCCTGTCAAGTCAGCCAGTGCGCTCTCACAACTATGGTTAGGTCTAAAACCCGATTGTTTAGTGGGCAATACATTAAATTTATTTAAAAACTCCCTAATTTGCCTGTCCATAATTTTTTCTAATACTTTAGAGAGTGTTGGTAGAATGCTTATTGCTCGCAGCTGACTCATTTCTGTGGGATTTTGAACTTTGGGCAAAGGAGTCACATTTGCTTGTTTCCACGATAGAGGAAAATATGAATTTAAAATGCATTCATTAATTATATGGGTTATAAACGGAATGATAAATGGGCAACATAATTGTATCAAAGTAATATTTAGTTCATCGTTTCCAGAAGCCTTAGATTTTATATTTTTGATTAGGTCGAAAACTTCACCCTCTGTCGATAACTGAAAATCAAATTCTTCATTTACCCCATAAGCCCTATTATTTTCGTAGTGATTCAATAGTCGGCATCTGGTATATCATTACTAAAAACAGAATTAACAAAAAAATTATTTACTTTATATAGAACCAAATATAGGGCATCCCATTTGAAAAAAGCTGAGAGCATGCAACATTATACATTTCTGACATTAAATTTTTGTTTCTGACCATGGATTCTAAAAATTTAGCCAAAACTGTACAACTTTTGTATTTACACCTTTCTACTACCTGTAAAGGTAAACAGGTGGGGTGTCAATATATAAAAGAACACCCAGTACAACGGATTTAGTATTGGATCAACTGTAGTAAAGTGCCGTTTGTAGTCTACAAATTCTCTATCCTAGGACGTGTGTATCTGCGCTGCTTTTATATATTTACACTAGTCTAGTGAGTTTCTTTTTGGAAACTGAGCCATGTTTTTAATACACTGACGGAATCTGTACTTACCATACTGCGGTCGCGACCAAAACCTGCGGTGTATTTTTGAGCGGTGCCAAGATCGGTTCTGCCAGAAGTCCATTGGCTACCATTCCTCCGGCAAATACCACCAACATATACGATAGCCAACAGGACAGAGGGTGTTTTCGAGAGAAAGCCTGGGCGCCTGTAAGTACAGAAAATATATTAGTTGTTAGATTGTGAGCTCTGTAACATTTCTTACCGCTTCCAAGATCCTCCCTAACGGAAAGCGCACAAAGTGTACAATGCGCTATATCGAAATATGGAAACATTTTTAATTTCACCACCTGATTGGCGATGTCGAGGAATGCTTCTGGATCCATGGTGATCTATTTGGTTCGTCAGCTTTATACTTGATTTTCGTCTAGAAGAATATAATACATTAATAGAAATGCGACTTTATTGCGGTTACAAGCTAAGGTTACAAGTTATATCTATTGACTTTGCTGTATTAAATTAAATTCTTCAGGAAAGAGGTTGTAATAGTATATTAAAATAAAAGTTGCAGAAGGGCACATATTCCACGAATTCGAAATTTGGCCACGAGCGACAACGGAGCGAGTGGACGAACGAATGAGTGCGAGAATAGCCTTCTGCAACGCGTGTTTTATACTATTTTCTCGATTTTGATGTGAGAATGTCATTATTCCCGCACGCAAAATCATTGAAGAATGAAGCTCAAATGTCAGTGACATTTATAGGGTATTTCATTGGTAGAGCAAGTGCAACACTGGTGCAATATTCGTGATCCATTGGCAGAGTCGCGCTACACTTTTGTATTTCATTGGGAGAGCAATGCACCGAGTTTTGCACCGAGTGCTGCTAGTGCGCCACCGGCTAAAAAGCTCGTGTCACTCAGTGCAGTTGTTTATTGTTATTTTTGAAATTGAGGTTATTGGTGGTTGATGATTTTTCATAAAAAAACAGTCCTAAATAGTAGGTATTTTTTTATGGTGTTTTTTTTATTTGTCTGCGAATCTACTACCTACTACCAAAAATGTCAAAAATCGCTCGTTGAAGGCAATTGCCTTGATGGAAAGTAGCAGCAGCAGTGAAACCAGTGAATATGAAGAATATTTAGGGCTTCTAGCAGAGAGGCCAAAACTTTTTTTTTAAATTAAATTATAATAATTATTTATAATAAGTACAAGTATAATTTTTTTAATAATAGTATATTATATACCTAGGTAGAGAAGTTGGTCATTATATACCGAAAGCTTTTATAAACCGAGGCGCGCAGCGCCGAGGTTTATAATGCTTGAGGTATATAATAATATAATGACTTTCTCTACCGAGGAATATATAGATTTTTTTTTACTACTGCTAGTAAAAAATAAAAAATTTGTTTAAAATCTGTGTTCTAATTATTTTTTGTGAATGCCCTCTTGAAAGTGCTGCCCTCTATTAACAGCTTATATAACTTCCTATGTACAGGGTGATCCAGTATAAAGTGAACACCCCCTACCTTTTCGCACGAAAAATTTTGAAAAAATGAAAAATAGAATCCAAGATCGAGAAAATAGTATAAAACTCACGTTGCAGAAGGCTATTCTCGCACGAATTCGAAGTTTGGACACGAGCGACGAAGGAGCGAGTGGACGAACGAATGAGAATATGTGGCCTTCTGCAACTTGTATTTTAATATCGGGTCTTCAAAAAAAAAACAATCGAAGATTGCTTTGACTACGAAAACGTACGTCGCATTACTGTTTCTTTATTCGTCAGGATTTTTGACAGGACATTTTGACATTAAATTTCATTGACAAAATTGAAGACAAATAGGTATTGCTAAGACATACGTTTAAAAAACCATAGCAATCTTTGATTGTTTTTTTTTTGAAGACTCGATATATGGGGTCTTCAAAAAAAAAAACAATCGAAGATTGCTATGGTTTTTTAAACGTATCCCTAATAACACCGATCTGCCAGAAACATCCCATTTATGTGCCATAAAGGTCCTTATGTTTCCGACATAAATGGTACATCGCTGCGATGTTTCCAATGCAACATCTCTAGGATGATTGTCCCAAAATGTTTTAGAAACATCCTTTTGAAAATATTGACAAAGGATTTTTTGTTCTCAAAATTAGATATAAAAGATTGCTAATAACATCATTTTACAAAACTAGGTAGTAAATTTTGTGTGGTTCCTAAAAACGATTCTCTCATACACGCACTAATAAACTAATTTCAAATTTACATAGTATGTATAAATATATACCTATATAGGTATAGATTTTTAGGTATTTAATAATATTTATTTAGAATAATAGCAACAAAAAAATAATAATTTGACTTATAAAATAATAAAATATTGATCAGTGGTGAAAAGCCTAAGAATTATGTACCTATTCAAATTTAAATTTTCAAAAATGCCGCGCAAAAAAAATTATGGAAGGAGCATGCACACTTCGGCCCCAACGATGTTGGCCGATCACGGGCTCGTGTGTGGCGTGGCAGCGGTGACGAGCCAATGAGCAGCGGCCAGCGGGTCGGAGTCGGGCATCGGGCAGTGTGAGGTTGAGTATGAGTAGAGTCGGTCGGGTCCTACGCTGGCGGTACGTCTCTGTGCCTCTGTGCTTGGTGCTGTGGCGAGATTTCGTGCTTTTTCCACAGCTTGTTTTTCGCTACAGTGCATTTTTTGTTCGAAAGGATCTCTGCAGTGTTTATTAGTTGGTAAGAAAAACTATTGTTGTAAGATAAAGTTGCATAATTATTATTAATAGGTTATTGTTAATCCGGTTATTCAAATTCAATTATGGCGTCAGTCGTCAGTTAACCAATAGAAATCGACCATTCAATTGGTCAACAGGTTTTTCCCACTCTGACGCCACGGACACGTTCCCGGGTAGGTACGCGTTGAGTTTTTTCTTTTTTCAATCGTGTTCCTGTTGATAGTCGACAGACCATGACCATATATTTGCTGCTTATTGTTTGTTTAGAGTGTGAGTTGCTTTTTTTACAATTTATTCCTATTTGATATTTTTATGCAAAAGAGAAAAACATAACCTCAAAAAAATTAAAAAAAGGGCGGCATGCACGGGCGTCAGTAACATAACCTTTTTTGTCATTTTATTTGTTGGAGCTGGAACTGAAATTAATTTGAAATAAGTTAAAACTTTGTTGTGTTTTAGAAACTTCGAACAACTGTTTCAACCTCGTTTCAACTACCCCACACCCACTTACACCAAACTTACTCAACTTGTCTGGTTTATAACCCTTATTCATTAGGTAAGAAAAAAATTACCAATATTTATTTTTCGTTTTCATAGTTTGTATTAATTCTAGGTGTTCAAGTTGAGTAAAACTAAAGTTCACCCACTTGAAGACCTTTGGATAGTGGTTTAATAATAAATAGCTATACTTCAAATTATGTTTACATGGAACATGGACACAAAGTGAAGCGGCGTCACAAAACAAATGCTGCTTCAATTTTACAAATTACAACAAAAAAAATTTAGCTACATATTATCATTATATTTAGATCTTTTGATGAAGCTTTTAATAATCTATTTTTTGGTTTGTAGGTGCAACTGTTTACAAAAATGGGTGGTTCAAATCTTTACGAGTTCGTGAGACGTTGTATTGCTCCATTGGTGAGTGATACCCTAGCAGAACAGTTCTCTTTCCTTGGGAAAAAAGGAAAAAGTGTTTTTGGCTCCAGCAGTTTGGCAAAAGCAATAATTGGTAAATATAGAAATTTTTTTGTTAATCGTTCTTATATTTGTGAAAAGTTTAATTTAAATATGTTTTTCCAAATTATAAGGATGAAAAATCGCAACATATTTTATGTAGTAAGTGTCTAAGCAAGCGCAACATAGGGAATGGTATCGGGTCTTCAAAAAAAAAACAATAATAATCAAAGATTACTATGGATTTTTAAACGTATTATAATTTCTTAGCAATATTTTTCTTCAATTTTGTCAATGAACTTCAATGTCAAAAAGTCATGTCAAAAATCGGGACCAATAAACAAATAATAATTAGACATACGTTTTCGTAATCAAAACAATCTCTAATTGTTTTTTTTTTGAAGACCCGATATCATGAAAATACCTGTTGAAACTATTAGCAATAATATTTTTCTACTACCGTGCGTAAAGTGCTTACTTTACGCACTATTTAGAAGACGTAAAATTACACTTCACGCACTAGTGCGTAAAGTAATTCACTTCACACACTAGTGCGTAAAGTAATGTCAATGACAAAGGTCGACGCTGTCAATTTAGTATTTTTCTGGTAAATTACTTCACCCCCTAGTGCGTAAAGTGAAAATACTTACGCACTAGTGCGTAAAGTATTTGTCTAAATCAATTTTTTTACACATATTTGATTGGTAGTAGAAAAAATGTTGTATGCAATACGTGCGTAAAGCACCTTTTTTCACTCATGTGATTGTCGCACTCGCCTTAAATTCACATTTGTTAAAAAAGGTTCACTTTACACACTTGTTGCATAAATAACTATTTTGTATGAATTCAATTAGCTTTTTTTTAATATCACTTCTGAGTACAAATTTAAAATACGCCGTGATTTCTCTGGGTATTGCTACATTTCCATAATTTAATCTTTTACTTTCAAAATTAGCAGTTATTTTCATTATCTTTCCCAAGTATTGTTCGTCGATTTTTAACTGATACTTGCGGTATGAGGAGCGAAGGGGTGTTTCATATGGCAAAAACAGGTGTGATGTCAGGTAACCATTGGCGTTCTAATGTAGGGAGCCACCAGCTCACATTCCGTCCGAGTATCGGATAAAAATCGACGGACAATAACTCTTTGCTTATGTTGCGGGCATCAGGACACATATGTAACAATTAAAAGCAAAATAATAATTGCAGATGCTGCCCAAAAATCAGGTATTTCCAACAATCAAAAAGAAACAGAACTGAGGATCGGTGACTGGTTGAGGAGGGCAAAAGAGCGAAGGGTCAGAGCAGAGACTAAGAAAAATTAAAAAAGAACTCGGAACCTTTTTTATAGTTTCAAATTTTAGTTTCTTCTTCATAAGCAGATTTAGAAGTTAAGTTTTTTATTTTTATTTTTCTGTTGTTTAGTCATAATACATGATAGTCTAAAGAGCCAGTGATTTTTTTTGCTGTAAAAAGTTGCTGATTGACACTTTCTTGCTTAAGCGATGTAGTATTACACCCAGTGACCAAAAACCATAGTCTGGCAGCATGTGGTGGGGAAGTTTGTTGTAGGCATAATTAATTAGTACCGATGGTCAATTTTTGTAGCATATCATGTGTCATTCAAAAATGTGCCATTACCAAGGCTGTAATAATGCTAGAAGATTTTCACGGGTTTAAAGCCCTTTTGCAAGGTCTAGCCTTGTATTAATGGCACATTTTTGGATAATAA